AGATGGGGGGTAGGGTATTTTGCAGTCACTAGGATGACTACAATTTAAAACAAAACGGGTAAGTGGACACTAAAATTCTAATAGCAGGCATTTGAGAAAAAAGTCTTGATAGTTCTTCCAAAAAAGTTCCTCAAAACACTAACCACAATATATGACCCAGCAATTCCACCCCAAAGTATACATTCAAGAGAACCGAAAACATGATGTCCACAGAACAATTCACATGAAAATGTTCACGACATTATTCATACTCAGAAAGTGGAAACTACCCAAATATCCATCAACTGACAGATTATAAAATGTGACAAAAGAGTGCCATTCAGTGTTATGGGTTGGACCTGTAGTGTCCCACCAAGGCTCATGTGTTAAGGCTTAGTTCCTGGCTGATGGTGTCAGTGGAACCTTTAAGGGATGGAGCCAGGTCACTGGGGGTGTGCCCTTGAAAAGGATGGAAGGACCCTGGCCCCTCTTATCTAGGTTTGCTTCCTGGCAGCCATGAAGTGAGCAACTCTGCCACTCCCTACCAAATCAATGAGGCTAAGAACCATGAACCAAAAGTTCTAACACCAGAAGCCAAAAACAATTCTTTCCTCCTTTTAGGTTGATTCTTGGAAATTTAGTCACAGCAACACAAACGTGACAAACATTCAGGAATTAAAAAATGAAATATACCTGCTATCATCACATGGATGAACACTGAAATCATTATGCTAAGCAAAACTCAAGACACAAAATGACAAATTATATGATCCAAAATAAGTAAATCTGTAGAAATAGAAAGTAGATTAGTGTTTGTTGGAGGCTGGATATGTTAAGAGAAAGAGGTATAACTACCGGGGGTGCTGGAATGAAGACGATATTCCAAAATCAATTGCGGTAGCTACCAAACTCTGGGCATACATTAGAAACCACTGAACTGTATGTTTTAAATGAGTAACATTGCACATGAATTGTAACCGATGTGGTGTTCTTGTTTTTTGTTGTCTCTTTGAAATAGGGTCGGTCTCCCCTGTAGCCCCAGCTGGTCAAGAATTCACTCTGTAGATCAGGCTGGTCTTGAACTCACAAAGGTCCACCTACCTCTGCCTCCTGAGTGCTGGGATTAAAGGCATGCACCACCACGCCTGGCTCTATGTGTTTCTGGTTGTTTGTTTGTTTGTTTTAAATGGAGGAAAAAAAAAAACAGGTTAAAAAGAAATAGAACTACAAATGCACTGCTGGTGGGAGTTATAAACTGGTGAGGTGCTTCTCAACAACCATTTGGTAACACCCAATGATAATGAGCTTGTGCTTTGCAGTATGGTATCCAGGGGGCTCCAGGGAAAACAACAAGTCATATAAAAAGATACTCGAAAGTCATCAGGGAAATGCCACTTCAAACTACCACGAAAAACCATTACACATCTCTGCTAAAAGGGTCAACACTGAAAATACCAAGCACCGATGGGAATGTAAAATGAGGCAGCCACTCTGGACAATCATATAGACACTAACCATGGGACTCCATAAGCGTACTTAAGGTTATTTATTATCCTAGAGAAATAAAAAACTTATGCTTATGTTCATACAAAAACAGTATCTGAATGCCTATAGCAAGCTACATAGCCTTCAAAAAGGTCAATATGGCAGATCTAAACCACAGTACACCACTTCGATATAAAAAAACAGCAATACATGAATGAATGTGGATAAATCCCATATGCGTTATCTTAGGTGAAAGAAGCCAGTAACAAAAGGTCACATGCTGTGTCACCAATTCCATCTAAGACAGACACTCCAGAAAAATCAAAACTGTACAGACAGGTGAGTGGGATCCAAGAGGTCGATGAGGGCTAGTTCTGGGACTCTGGAATGCTTGAGCCAATTCTGTATCCTATTACAGAGGTGCTTATAAGAATCTACATGTATGTTAAAGCATACAAAACTGAATACCCCCAAAAGTGAATTTTACTGTGACTCTTTTAGACAATTTATGCAATAGGGAAAAATGAAAAAATATGATACACAATATAGGGTTGGAGAGAAGGCTCAGCAGTTAAGAGCACTGACTGCTCTTGCAGAGGACATGGGCTCAATTCCCAGCACCCATACAGCGGCCAACAGCTGTTCCTAACTCCAGTTCCAGGGGATCTGGCTTCTGACTTCCACGGACATTATACAACATTGGGTGCACATATATAAATGCAGGCAATACACTCATACACATAAACAAAAATCATAAACAATACACAAGACAATGCTCTGTCCATTAAAGACACATGCAGCTGGGTCAATGATGATGATTCCATGAAGCACTCAACTCTCCGCCTCTAAGAGGCAAAAATGGAAAATGGAGATTGGAATACAAGAAAATGTCCAACAACTGACATAACTGAATAAAATGGGTTATTTAATGACTAAGGTTAGTCCAGAACTCAGAGGCTACAGAGGAAAAGACAGCGCTTCAGCACTGAGTAGCAAATTATATTTAATTAAAACTTTAAAACATTTTATTTATTTTTATTTTATGCATAGATGTTTCTACAGGTCAGGCACATAACTGAAGCACGATGCTCTCCTATGTGTGTACCCAACGTACTTCTAAATATGACTGAAATCAGATCAATCCCAGAACACTGGCTTTCAGAGGCATAGTTGGAAGAAAAGTTTGAGTGAAGACAAAACTCAGTCAGGTCCTAACAGGATACGTTTTATCTGGCGGCTGAGGCTAAGTAACTCATTATAAAAGAACTGGATAAACTCCACTTTCAGCATACTAACCACTTTTTAGACATAAATTCAGAGTGATTTGGCTCAGACAATGAGGAGGGAGGCTTTCAAGTTTCCATTTGCAAAAAAACCTCATTACATGCCAAGCATATCACATACAATACAACTGTAAAATCTGTGCATTCATGCAGAAGTAAAGCAGCCTAAGGGGCATCCTGTTGGCAAAGCACCTGCTAGAGGATCCAAAAGGAAACCCTGGCTTTGACCATCAGTGAATTTCAATATGGAGGCTCTGACAGGCTTTTAACCTCCCCCAAAACAAAGCAGCAGAAGACTGCAGGCAAGAGGCAGGTAGACACCTGTTCTACACCAACCACAGCGAAGTGCCATCTGACATCTCCACAGCCTCACTAGAACAAAGCCACAGCATTCCCTTCTCCTGCATTACGCCCTTGCGCGCTTATTTTTGTGGGAGAAAACTGCAGTGCTATCTACAGTGTTTGAGGTGGGAGATGGGGTCTTCTGGTTAACATCCTAGGTAGATGAATCTCTCCAAAATTAAACACTGAAACTGCAATGAAGTTTAAATGGTATGACATCTTCAAGACCTTTCCAAGCCTCAAGCTGACCAAAATAAATGAAAAGTTTTAGTATAGTATGTCCCCCTTACATTACTGTTCTAGGTTCATCTCTGTTGCTATGATAAAATACCCTGAAAAAAACGATTTCAAGGGAGAAAGTATTTATTCGTCTTCTAATTCTAGGTTATAGTTCATCATTGTGAGGAAGTCAGGGCAAGACTTGAAAGAGCTAGTCATATCTATAGTAAAGAGCACAGAGAAAATGAAAACGTGCATGCCCACTCCTACTCAGTACCCTCTCTAAACTGAATTTACACAGTCAAGGATCCCTGCTAGGGAACAGTGCTGCCCACACTGGCCTAGGTTTTCGCATGTCAATTAATGCAATCAAGATAATCCTTCAGAGAAATGCCCAGAGGTCAACCTCATCTATAGGATTCCTCATGGAGAAGCTTTCCAGGTGACTCTAGATTGTGTTGTTGACAATTAAAACTAACCACCACAATTACCAAGCTTATCTTTAATCTTTGAGGGGAAATATTCTGCAAAGTAATTGCATGATTTGATCATAGTTTGCCCAGCATGTGTGAAGCCCTGGGTTTGATTCCCCAGGAGAGGGAAGGATGTTTATTCACTCTAAACAAAAATTCCATTTTTTCCCCACCCTATCGCCAAAGTTTCCTAACTTCAGATGGATATTTGCTAAAACCTAAGTGAACGATATTTTAATAGTTTAGGATAGCAAAAGTTTTCATGGCTACCCATCACTGCGACTTACATAGTAAATGGTACAAATCAGCAAAAATTTGTAAGGTTCTTCCATACACCTCCAGCAACCACATGAATCCAACTGATTTATAGAATTGCTCTAATGCTATTGCTCAAGGCATTTCCCAGAGCTGCCATGTGGGTGCTGGGAATTGAACCTGGGTCCTCTGGAAGAGCAAGCAGTGCTCTTAAGTCTCTCCAGCCATCTCTCTATCTCTCTTACTCTCCATCTCTTAACTCATCTCTCCAGCCCCCAAATCTCCAGTTTTAAAGATACTATATTCCTAAACTCAGTGAGATGGCCACCTGTCTAGGAGCCTGAACCCAGGAATCATCTGTGCTTGTTTAGTGGTCAGACAGGATGACTCTGTGACATCTAACCATGGTAAACAGCTTCCATGCGGAACCAGAACACATTAATACAATTTGTTGCCAAATAAAGAATGGGGGAAAGGCCAAGGACCGTTTGTAGTATTCTCTCCCATCTTCTGCTTTAAGTAATTTTTTACATACCTGGCATCCTTAAAAGTTAAATGTAGGTAAACTAGCTCACTAATCAAAATTATCAACCCTCTGCAGCAATTTTTAAAAACAGCCATCAAACCACAGCTGATGACTAAAAATGTCAAGATAAATAGTTTAGGATGACAAGCAATTTTTATGGCTACTCATAACCATCCTAAAATTAGGTGATTATTGGTTGTTATAAATTATTAAGAAACTGTTTAATGACGGTCCACTCAAATAGCCTAAGTGAATGCTAACATTAAATGCTTTTACCAGAAATAAAGTGCCCTAAGTGACCTTTATGGTGATAAAAACATTAAAGCCAAGTTCTTTCGAAGGCAAAGGTCAAAGAGCCTCTCCTAGGTCTCCTTTCAGTCCGCTCTCAGCTCAGCCAAGTGCTGTATAATCTAAAGTGCCGTTATTTTTAAGCCTTACCTTCAGATAGGATCCATAATATTTGGTTACGTATGGACTGTCACACTGACTCAGCACTGTGATTTCTTGTTGAATGTCCTCTATCTCATCTTCAGCTTCTTCCAGATCAATGATTTTTATGGCAACCACTTTCTGAGTCCGATTGTCAATGCCTTTGAACACCTCGCCAAAAGACCCCTTCCCAATTCTCTCTAGCTTGGTAAAAAGCTCTTCTGGGTCTGCTTTCAGGTTCTGTAGGAAGAAGGGAGAAAACATTAATTCCTGCCAAAGCCACGGCTGGTATTTTGGTACTTTGTTTTATTTACAAAAGAGTAGACCATAGCCCTGGAGGGATTGCTTGTTTTCTGTGACAATAATCCAGGCTATTGTGACCACAGTTCTTCAGGGCCTTACCAAGTTCCTTAAGAATTAAACATAGCAAGTGGGGGACAAAGCCTACCTAGCATGTGTAAAGCCTTGCAGTGTTTTTGTTTTATTTATGTCTTTTTGAGACAGGGTTTTCCTGTAGTCCCAGCTGGCCTAGAACTCACAATGTAGAACAGTCTGGCCTTGAACTCACAGAGATCTGCCTGCCTCTGCCTCTGCTGGGATTAAAGGCTTGTGCCACCACACCCTGGTTACCTCCAAAGGAAGGAGGGTTCACTCTAAGCAAAAATTCTACTTTTTCCCACCCATCTCCAAACCATCCTAACTTCGGATATTTGCTAAAACACAGGTTAACTAACTATATCATGTAATGGGGGGTAGGGGGTGCCATGACACTATAGCCTACCTATAACAGACAGTTTAAAATCCATTTATAGCTATTCTGAACAATTACCAAATGACAAAAACAGAAGGCAGACTCTGTTCTTTTGTCACGTAAATGCTAGAGTCCTGAAACAAATTTTTAAAGTTCTTAACCATGGTGCAACTACACATAGTATCCATGGCCCAAGTTCTACCAATCAGGACCCAGGTGCCCCTAACAGTCATCCAGCACAAAACCAAAGCTGCGTGTCAGAGTTCTCAGGGGCAGTCACTGTTGTCACTAGGGACATCTGGAAATAGTCTGAGGGGCCATATGTATATTTCAGAACAAGTGCCATATACTGGTGGCACCTTAGAACCTGCAAATTACAAGGACATGAACAACCCAAAGTCATCAGTCATGTGAACATTTTCCTCACAGGAAGAAGATGTCCGGTTGATCTTCAAAAGTCTATTAGTCCTTCAAAGAAAGTGCAATACTACAGGAAAAGAACACTACAGCAAAGGGTTGGGGGGGTGGTTAAAAGGGATATAAAAAGGGAATTGAGGAGAAGGAAAAAGGAAAGCAGGTGCAGGTTTTATCCAGGAGCAGTGAATAAGGTAGGTCATAGGCATAGGACATGCCAACACCAGCAACAGAGTGACACTGATCTTATTGTCACCAGGCACCAACCACATATGTGCTTCTGGAAGTAAAGTCCTGAATTCCAGGCATCTGCTTTACTATGGTCCAGCTGAATGCCAGGCAGCCCCCGCCCCCCTCTTATCTGGAGGCTGTACAGCAGTAACCAGGAGCTAACGGTCACTGGTGGCCCCTTCTCACCATGGAGACAGAGCCCAGACCCATTCTGAGACTATACCTGGAGCAACAACTTCACAAGCCCACTGACAATCTTGGGAAAAATAAACAAAGGTCTATGTGCTGAATATGGTACAATGCGCAACGCACCACAGGGCTACTGTAGAAAACGACACAGGGAAAAAGACTGTGTCAATTAACGCTCTGTGTACCCTGGAAATGGGGTGCCCAATGTAACCCACTGCCTAAGAAACTGCCAGGAGTACAAGGACTGTCGCTCTGGCCAGAACCTCCTTGGCTCACAGAAAGCTAAACACTCTCCCACTGTATTCAAAGTGAAACCCATTCACCTTCATTTGCACTACACTTTTCAACTGGGTGACAGTGTCCTGACCTGGGCAACTACTGCTTCCAGTCATGGAACAGTCTCCAATGTCTTTCTGACACTGAAGGTGCTCACAAGTTTTTCTGAGCTCTAAAAATACAGTCCAAGATCCTATGTTTGTCATGAAAATCTGAGACCAACTATCAGAGTCATTGGTAATTTCCTAAAGTGGGAGCTGTTTTTGAAACTAGTGGGTAGCCCTGAAGTTTACTTTTTTTTTGGTCTTTTTGAGACAGGGTCTCCCTGTAGCCCCAGCTGGCCTTGAACTCACAGAGATCCAACTGCCTCTGCCTCCCAAGTGCTGGGATTAAAGGCGTGCGCCCACACCTGGCAGTTTACTCTTATTTTTAAACTTGCCAGGTGAATGAGCACCCTTCAAAGTAATTTTTAGTAATATCCCCAAAGAATGCTGGAGAATGCCAGGGGGGCATGTGGCATCCCACTCAGCCTGTACTCGGTTGGGGGACCTGTTTCTGCTCGCTCCCACATCACACAAGCATCCAGGAGTCAAGAGCTAGGGGAAGGATGTTCATGTCCCTCCTTCAGCAGACTCAAACCCAGACAGGAGCAGCTGCTGTGCTATGCGGTGCTATGCAGTTCAGCAGCTCCAAGCTAAGTCCCCTGATTCTCCCTTACCTCCTTCCTTCCAAGATGAGGTAGAGCAGCTCTCCTTTTCCTCAAGGCCAATCCTAATCGCAGGGCTTTGGAATCCATCTCTCTCTCTCTCTCTCTCTCTCTCTCTCTCTCTCTCTCTCTCTCTCTCTCTCTCAGCAAGGCTTCAACCAACAACCCGTGGGTGAAAGCTCTTCTTCCACCTACCCCGTCTACTGGCTCCTTGCCCTAGGCAGCATGCTCCGGTTCCTCCCACTTTAGAGAGACAAAAAGCATCCTGTTTGTCCTCAGCAGCCCTCCTCCTTCACACTCCTGCTAAAGGTTCCTAACGGTCAGTCATCTGCACCTGCCCTTCCACCCCCTTCACAGCATTCTGGCTCAGGCAACTCTGGTCACCAGTGATGTAGCACCCTGCCTTGAGTCTCATCAGCCACGCCCTCTACCCCCTTGTAACTTTCCAGTCCCTTGGCCTCTATCTATACCCTGTTCTCAGCTCTTCTTCCAGGCCCTGGTGCCAAAGGAATCTTCGCACAGGCCCTGAATTCTGGTAACTACCTAAATTCCAACCCAGGCCTTCTGACTCTTCCTTCCTGGATGCCAGTCACTGAAGGGTATGGTTTGCCTGGCACCCCCTCAGATGATCAGAAGCACCTGGGGCACTTCACATTAACACAGTGGGAGTGCGGGTTGCAGGTAATCCACATTTTTAAGCACTTTGGTTGATTCTAAGAAACAATGCTCTATATTACTCTATACATGCCAACATCCGCACTACCAGCACCTGCCCTGTCTCTGGAGTCTGAACTCCTAGGACACCTCACTTTCTAAGTATCATCTTTCCCTGCAGAGGTCTCAGCCCAACGTGTATTAACAAAGAATGTCACTTCCCCTGCTGAACTGAACTGCCCCGCCATGTTCCTCCTGTTCTGTGCTGTCACTTCCTAGACTAAGCTGAGGAAAACTGGGGACCATGTCCCACTCATCTCTACAATCATGAGCCTGAACACCACCATGGTCAATAAATGTCCTCTGAGCAGTAAGAAACCTTGACATGTAGACATACAAACAAGACATCATAGAATATCCTCTCAGAGACTGACCCGAGGGACAAGGGTAGGGACAGCATCCCTCAATCACTCTTAGAAAAGGACTGCCACACAGTTACTGCTCTAAAGCACAGCTTTCGTTAGTAACTCCACTAACAGCTTGATCCTCACAAGAAAAGCTCGTGCTTTCTGAGAGTTATTTTAAAAAGAAAACAAGAGCCGGGCATGGTGCCACACGCCTTTTAATCCCAGTACTCAGGAGGCAGAGGCAAGTGGATCTCTGTGAGTTCTAGGCCAGCCTGGTCTATATAATGAGTTCCAGGCCAGCTGGGGCTACAGGGAGACCCTGTCTCAAAGACCAAAAAATAATAAAAGAAAAACAAAACAAAACAAAATCACCTATCCAAGTCCTTACAACACTGACAAGGCCAATAAGGGAAGACTGTCCTGCCCATGAGTCCCCCTGCCTTTGTCCACATCACTCTTCCCAGCCAGTGGTGAGGCCCAGCTGGCCACCTCCGAGACCTCAGCTGAAGACCCAGCACATGTATGAGGTCATCCTTGACCGAAGGCCATCAGAACTACCCAGCACCCCTAGAATCATGAGCAGTGGAGGTCACCAGGCTTGGGTTATCTGTCATTCCATGAGATAGCTGATACAAAGTGGTGCTAAAAGCCAATGCTGCCCAAAAAACCATATCCTGGCTCCACTCATAACTGGCAGGGACCATCTCTCACACCTAGTCTCATGAGAAGAAAAATCTGGGCAGACACTTTTCCTGCCTAGCCACTGATACTGAGATGATGGCTTCTCGGTTCACAGCCCTGAGTAGAAAGAAGTCACTGCCTGACACGGTTGGTCACTGTACCAGTAGAGCAGGGAGGTGGCAAGACAGGGGGCTTATCTTGCATGTGTGAAGGACATGATTCCTTGGCATCAGAAGACAAGCTGGTAGCCTGCTACCATAATGGCTCCAACAAGTGAACAATTCCATGTTCATACTCCTATGCAACTTTGCTGCCCCAGCAAACACATAGCCTATCTTCCTACCCCAGAACCTCTGTTCACCTTGTGATTTCTTAAAACATTGTACAACTTCCAAGGTTACACCTTAAAGGACCAGGCAGTTTTCAATTAAACCTTCTTGGAACACCTCAGTCAATATACAGAGGCTTGTTCTGGCCCACTGGAGAGTCTACGTGAGGAGAGACACCTAGCCACATGCTGTCCTCATCACTGCAGGGCAATGGACTCTGCCACCAGTCACATGAGCCCTAGAGAACACAGGTGTACACACATACACACACACACACACACACACATATATTATATATACCAGGAATGGTGAGACATACCAGATCACCACTGTTTTAGTCCCAAGTTCCAGGATGGCCTATGGCCCAACAAAACAAGTATAAGAAAAGGGAGTGAGGCAAAGAACACTGTAGGAAAAAAGTACCCACTTAGGGAGAGGGTTCTATATGGAGGGAGGGCTTTGATTGTAATAAATCACCCAGTTTCCCTTTGCTTGGTCTAAGTCAGTTCAGAAAACTGTTTTCTCTCTTTCACTGTTGTCCTGTTAAGACCTTTCCAGGAGTCCACCACATGTACTGAATCTGAAGTCTTGTCTTAAATCTG